AGTGGATAGCATGACCTGTTTTGTGGATACTAGTCAGCCATTTTCCCCAGCCACATGTCATTGCTCAGGGGGCTTATCCTGGACATGGTGGCAGGGATGGAGGTTATTCACAAGCTCAGCAATACAGACTTCTGCTCACTTCAGCTCACCTGGATATGACTACTGCTGAGTGCCCAATCTGCCAGCAACAGAGACCAGCATTGAGCCCCCAGCACCATTCCCTGGGGTGATCAGCAAGCTACCTGGTGGCCAATTGACTATGTTAGACTGCTTCTATCACAGAAGGGGCAGCAGTTTGTTCTTACTGCAATAGATGCTCTAGATACAAATTTGCCTTCCCTGCATGCAATGCTTCTTCCAAAACTACCATCCATGGACTCACAGAATGCCTTATCTACCATCATGGCATTCTACACAGCATTGCTTCTGACCATGGAACTTATCTCAGAGCCAAAAAACTGTAGTAACGGGCTCAAGCTCACAGAATTCATTGGTCTTACCATGTTCCCTACCACCCTGAAGCAGCTAGCTTTACAGGATGGTAAAAGGGTCCTTAGAAGATGCAGTTACAGAGTTGGCTAGGTGATAATACCTTGCAGGTCAGGGGCTAAGTTCTCCAGAAGGCTGTATACATTCTGAGTTAGCATCCACTACATGGTACTGTTTTTCCCACAGACGGGATGCACAGGTTCAGGAAACAAGGAATACAAATAGGAATGGAACCTACTCACCATTACCCCTAGTGACCTACTAGCAAAATGTTTGCTTCCTGTTCCCATGGCTTTATGCTCTGTTGGCCTAGACATCTTAGTTCCAGAGAAAGGAACGTTTCCACCAGGAAACACAACAATATTTCCATGGAACTGGAGTCAAAACTACCATGCAGCCACTTTGGGCTCCCCATGCCTCTGAGTCGACATGGCTGGGGGTGATTAATCCACACTAGGAATGGGAAGTTGGACTACTAACTCACAGTGCAGGTAAAGAAGAATATGTCTGGAATACAGGAGATCCCTTGGGGCATCTCTTAGTATTATCATGCCCTATAATTAAGGTCCATGGGAAACTATAACACCCAATCCAAGAAGGTCTACTAATAGCCCAATGAAGCTTTGGGTCACTCAACCAAATAAAGAATCACGACCAGCAAAGGCGTTTGCTGAAGGCAAAGAGAACACAGAATGCGGATGTACAAGAAGGTAGTTATCAATGCCAGCTACACCCACGTGACTAGTTAGGGAAATGATGATTTTAACTGTCCATGACTATGTTCTCCCTGTTTTGTTCAGAATACACTTGTGTGTATACATACATAGATATAACGAAGCAAATACCTATGTGTTTTCTCTTATTCCTTTATTATGTAAAATAAGATGTATTTACTTTACGTCAGTATTTATTAATTTTACATCATAGAATTAAATTGTGGAATTAATTACGAGAACATTCAAGAACTTAACCTCCTCTTCTGGGGAGAAATCAGTGCATTTTCAGTTGTATGCAGGGTAGTTGTATCATTTTAGGCAGAACTACGATCTTGTAATTGTCTCTATTTTGCGATTAAGCATGGTTTAAGGAGATGCATATGGGTGCCATACAGGTGCCAAGTTGACAAGGGGTGGACTTGTGATGGTTAATTTCAGCTGTCAACTTTACTGAATCAAGGAATACCCAGATGACTGGTAGAGTATTATTTCTGGGCATGTCTGTGAGGGTGAGGGTGTTTCCAGAGAGAATGGCATTTGTTTTTTATTTTTTTGAAACAGAGTCTCGCTCTATTGCCCAGGCCTGAATGCAATGGCCTGATCACAGCTCACTACAGCCTCAACCTCCCAGGCTCAGGTGATTGATCCTCCCACCTTAGCCTCCAGAGTAGCTGGGGCTACAGGCACGCACCACCATGCCTGGCTAATTTTTATATTTTCTGTAGAGATGAGGTTTCTTCATGTTGCCCAGGCTGGTCTTGAACTCCTGGGCTCAAGCAATCTACCTGCCTCAGCCTCCCAAAGTCCAAGGATTACAGGCACGAGCCAACATGCTCGGGGAGATGAGCATTTCAATCAGTGGACTCCATAGGAAAAATCTGCCCTCATCCAATGTGGGTGGGCACCATCAATTGGCTAAGGGCCTGGACAGAACACTGAAGCAGAGGAAAGGCAAATTCTCTCTTTCTTGGAGCTAGGGCACCCTTCTTCTCCAGCAACTAGAAAGATTGTAGTTACCAAACTGAGACAGGAAACAGGATAAATGGCAATGGTTTGAGGTAGAGGAATATCGGAGTTTAGTTCTGAACACATTAAGATTCAGATGCTCATTAGTTATGAGACTAGAGACACCAAGTTGGATATGCAGTTCTGGCATTGAATACATAGTCCCAAAGCCTGGGTTAGAGGTGTGGGCTACAGATAATAAAGCTGGGAATCATTAATACACACACACACACACACACACACACACACACACACACACACATATATATGTATATATGATATTAAAGCTATAGGTTAGAAAAGTAGCAATGATAGACTCTTGGGACACTCCATCATTTAGAAGTAGAAAAGATGAGGCATAAGTAGCAGAGAAGGCTAAAGAGGAACACTCAGAAATGTAGGAAGAAAACAAGACATGTGTGTTTCCAAGAATAAGGAATGAGCAACTGTGCCAAATGCTGATGGCAGACCAAGTTAGATAAGGTCTGAGAAAAAAATGACAGTTGAATTTGTCAACACGGAGGTCACTGTTGGTTTTGAAAGAAAAGTCTTCATAGTACAGCAAAATAAAAACAATTAAAAAAGAGATTAAAGTTTAAGAGAGAATAAGGGGTGATAAACTGAAAACAGAAAGTAATTTTGGGTCAGGTGTGGTGGCTCATGTCTGTAAACCCAACATTTTGGGAGGCTACGGTAGGAGGATCACTTGAGCTCAGAAGTTTAAGACCAGCCTGGGCAACATAGTGAGACCCTGTCTCTACGAAAAATAAAAATAAATAAAAATTAGCTAGGCTTGGTGGTGTGTACCTGTGGTCCCAGCTGCTGGGGTGGCTGAGGCGGGAAGATTGCTTGAGCCCAGGAGATTGAGGCTGTAGTGAACCGTGATCATGCCACTGTACTGCAGCCTGGGTAGGAGTGAGACTCTGTCTCACACACATAAAAAGAAAGTAATTTTGTTGTAAACGGGTCAAGAGAAAGCTTTTTGATTTGGTTATTTTTTGTTTTTTTATTGTTGTTGTTTTTTTTTTTTTTTTTTTTGCTGGGGAGGGAGGTGTGGAGGTGAGGAGCCTGCAAAGTTGCCTCCGGCCATGCATGGTGGCTCATGCCTATAATTCTATCATTCTGGGGGGCTGAGGCAGGTGAATCACTTGAGCCCAGGAGTTCAACACTAGCCTGGGCAACATGATGAAACCCCATTTCTACAAAAAAATAAAAGAAATGAGCCAGGCACGGTGGTGTGTGCCTGTGCTCCCAGCTACTCGGGTGGCTAAGGTAGGAGGATCTTGAAGCCAAGAGGCTGAGGCTGCAGTGAGCAATGATGGCATCATTGCTCTCCAGCCTGGGTGAAAGACTGAGGAAAAAGAAAAGCAGTACCTTTACTATCTGTAACATTTCATTTTGTATTACTGTCAATTTTATACAAGTCTGTTTCTACACTGATAAACCAGTAACCTATCTGAGAGCAGGAACTATTATCATGGAACTTCTACAACTAACTATAACTGTGGACAAGTTATTTCACACTACTATGGGATTTCACTTTCTTTTTTTTATAAAATATTGGGACAATCTAGAGAACTGATAATTTTGAAGATCCATTCCAATTATGACATTTGATTTTATAGCCTCTCCAAGTTCTCAGAATAGTATTTGCAGAACTGAGAACAAAAATCAAACTAAGGCTACATTTAAAACAAGTCTCCTCATCAAATTGTTATATAATTTGTTAAGATAACACATAAAGTTACCAGATACCCAGAATAACATCAAAGTTTTATAAAATCCATAAAAATTTAACTATATTATACTAACAAAAGGTAGAAATACTACACTAACATTCTAGAAACATTCTTTTAATCTTATAGCACTAGAATATTTCAGCAAATGGGCTGTTAGCACACAAGTTCAAAAAGGGTCATCTTAAATACACCAAAATTTTAGTTCTAAAAAAAAAAAAGACAACTATCTTTGTCATTACTAATCTTTAAAGCAATTATCATAGAAGCAACCCTCTTATTTTAAATTAGGCTGATTTGGATTGCCTCTCTATCTTTATTGCATATTTATTAGTTATCTGTAAAACAAAGATTCTATTTACAAGCAGATTAAGAAAAAACAGGGCCCGACACAGTGGCTCATGCCTATAATCCCAGCACTGAGGTGAAAGGATCACACTATGTTACTCAGGCTGGTCTCAAATTCTGGCCTCAAGCAATTCTCTACCTCAACCTGCTAACAAGCTCGGATTACAGGTGTGAGCTACCACGCCCAGCCAAAGATATTTTAATTCAAGTTTTTCCTTTAAAAAAAAAAAACAACCCGAATTGGCACCCCGTGACACACTGCGACCCCAACTACTAATCATTCTCAGTCCCTGCTTTTCATAGCCAAACTTCCTCAAAGCTGTGTGTACACCTACTCCATTTCTTCATCTCCCACTCATTCTTCAACCCAGCCTAATCTAACTTCATCCTGCCCCTATTACGCCACTAAATCTAATTAAGTCAATGACCTCCCAGGGCTAAATCCAATTAACACTTTCAGAACTTGTTTTGTTAGGCCTATCACTTGAAACACTTCCTTGGCTTCTCTGATAACACTCTCTTCTGATTTTGCCCCAGTTCTGGACTAGTCTTTCTGTTTTCTCTGCCCCACCTCCTCACCACTTACCACTGGAGGTCCTAAAAGCTCAAAGTCCTCTTCTTACTCCAGACTCTTCCAAGGCAAGCATCAATTTCTAGGGCTTCAAACTACCAGGTCAGAGTATCAAGGTGAAAATCACTTATCATTAATTACCCTTGACAATTCACTGAAATTCGCCCTTTAACTACACTTTAACGTATGAACAGGCCACAATGGCGGCCATTACACAATCCCCTCCAACCTTCATGCACCATACTAAACAGGCAGTTTATAGTTAAAGACCCACTGTACAAATAAGTTCTTCATTTTTCTTGCTCTTATGCCATTCCACCTCCATACTCCCTCATTTATAACCCATCAATATCTGCCCACTCTGCTAAAGATAAAATTCAAAATATTTAACATGGCCTAGCCTAGAATGTCTTATATGATTTGACACCTGGCAGTCTCATTTCCCATCACGTCTCACTTTCTACATTACAGCCCTCCAGGCCTTTAATTTCCCAAAGCATGTTCTTTCTTTCAGAGCATTTGCAAAATGTACTCCCTCATGCCGGGCGCGGTGGCTCAAGCCTGTAATCCCAGCACTTTGGGAGGCCGAGGCGGGTGGATCACGAGGTCAAGAGATCGAGACCATCCTGGTCAACACAGTGAAACCCCGTCTCTACTAAAAATACAAAAAATTAGCTGGGCATGGTGGCGCGTGCCTGTAATCCCAGCGGCTCAGGAGGCTGGGGCAGGAGAATTGCCTGAGCCCGGGAGGCGGAGGTTGCGGTGAGCCGAGATCGCACCATTGCACTCCAGCCTGGGTAACAAGAGCAAAACTCCGTCTCAAAAAAAAAAAAAAAAAAAAAAGGTACTCCCTCAATCTACTCTCTCTTCCCATTTCCCCGTTTTCTCCTAGTGAAGGTTTACTCATCCTTTGGGTCTTTACCAAAACGTCATGTCCTTAGGGAAGCCTTCTCAATCCAGCCCTTCCCCACATCTTGTTAGGGGTCTTCCTGCCATACAGGTACACGTAAGCACACTTTTTACTTGCTCAATCAACATCTGTCTCTCCCACTGAACTGTAAGCTTCATGAGGATCTTGTCAGCTTTTGTTATTGTTTTATCCCAGCACCTAACACTCACATATTGGTGAAATAAGAAACTTCATCATTATAGATGCTTTTTACACTCATAAATAATGTGCATACAGTATCCAAATACAAATTGAATTTTTTTTTCTTTTTTTTTTGAGACAAAATTTCGCTCTTGTTACCTAGGCTGGAATGCAATGGTGCGATCTCGGCTCACCACAACCTCCACCTCCTGGGTTCAAGCAATTCTCCTGCCTCAGCCTCCCAAGTAGCTGGGACTACAGGCACGTGCCACCATGCCCAGCTAATTTTTGTATTTTTAGTAGAGACAGGGTTTCACCATGTTGACTAGGATAGTCTTGATCTCTTGACCTCATGATCCGCCCACCTCACTTGGCCTTGAAATTTGTTTTTTAAAATTAATTGGCATAAAGTAGAACAAAATGTATCATCTTAATCATTTTTAAGTATACAGTTCAATAGTCTTAAGTACACTCATGCTGTTGTGCAACAAAACTCTCATCTTGCAAAGCTAAAACTCTATATCCATTAAACAATAACCTCCCGGCTGGGCGCAGCGACTTACGCCTGTAATCCCAGCACTTTGGGAGGCCAAGCAGGTGGATCACCAGGTCAGGAGTTCAGGACCAGACTGGCCAAAAGGGTGAAACGCAATCTTTAAAAAAAAAAAAGAATTAGAAACTAGGCCAGGCATGGTGGCTCACACCTGTAATCCCAGCACTGTAGGAGGCCAAGGCAAGCAGATGGCTTGAGCCCAGAAGTTCAAGGCACAACCTGGGCACCATAGCAAGATCCTGTCTCTAAAAAAAAAAAAAAAAAAAAAAACCAACAACAACAACAACAAATAATCTCCTATTCTGCCTTACCCCCTGTTCCTAGCAACCACCATTCTACCCAAGTCTCTATGAGACTATTCCAGGTACCTTATACAAGGTAAATCATACAGTATGTCTTCTTTGTAACTGGCTTGTTTCACTTAGCATAATGCTCTCAAGGTTCATCATGTAGCATGTGTCCGAATTTCCCTCCTTCTTAAGGCTGAATCACACTCCACTGCATGTCCACACCACATTTTATTCATCCATTCATCCATTGATTGATCTTTGGGTTGCTTCCACCTTTTGGTGACATAACTATTTATTACTGTAATGATGCTAAGAACAAGGGAGTACAAATATCTCTGAGATCCTGCTTTCAATTATTTTGAGTATATGGCAAAAAGTAGAATTGCTGGATCATATGATATCATATGATCATATGATAATTCTCTTCCAAAAATTGTTTTTTGAGACGGAGTCTCGCTCTGTTGCCCAAAATTTACAGAATAGTTGTTAGTGCAGTGGCACGATCTCAGCTCACTGCAACCTCCGCCTCCCAGATTTAAGTGATTCTTCTGCTTAGCCTCCCAAGTAGCTGGGACTACAAGCACCCCCACAACATGTCCAGATATTTTTTGTATTTTTTAGTAGAGAACGGGTTTCACCATATTAGCCAGTCTGGTCTCGAACTACTGACCTCATGAGCCGACTGCCTCAGCCTCCCAAAATGCTGAGATTATAGGCATGAGCCACTGCACCCATCTTCTTTTCCATTGTGGCCAGACCATTTTACATCCCCACCAACACAGGAATTCTTGTACACAAGAGTTTCAATTTCTTCACATCCTTGCCAATACCTGTTGTCATATTGTTTTGTTTTGATACAGAACCCATTCTAATGAATATCAAGCTGTGACTTCTTTCATATAAACTTTATGTGCCTTCATTTTCCTACAAATTTGTGATAAAAAGCCATCGAAAAACATGTTCCATAAACAAACAACATTCTAGAAGATATTGGCAATGCAAAAGAAAATAACAGTCTTTCAAAGTAGCATTTTAAGGAACAGTAAAATTGTAGTTCATGTGAAATGGCACAAAACAAAGGAAAACAAAAGAAAGGCGTTTTCACTCATATCTGAAGTTCTCTGATGCCTCCTGCCTGCTTAGAGCTCTGAATTTCTTAAGCTTAGGTTTTGCTTCCCTTCAGGATACTCCTCTTCACTAGCCACCCTCGCTCCCCACTCATGTGCTGGGAAACCTTCTCCTACTCTCTTTGCCTGTGGTTGTACCCTTCCTTTCTATTTCAGCTCTGTGCACCTTGGCATTAGAGGGTATCAATGATAAACACAGATGTTTGGACAGCTGGGGTAAATGAATCCCACTACAACCTTGAAAAGTTGAATTAAATGTTTGATTAAAACTGAAAATGAAATACACACACACACCCCTGAAAACATTTAAAAAGCTTCACATAGAGCAACATATCAAAACATCCTAAATCAGAAATGTATCCTGGTCTCCAAATTCAAAAGACTTTAAGTAATAAAATTTAAACTAAAAATAAAGATTTAAGACAATCTAGAATGACTCTGGATCAAAAAGTCACTAGGCTAGGCACCTTCCCAGAAAATTAAAATAAAGCACAAACATGTCTTAAATCAAAGGTATGTATTTAATAGTGATTAGTCTGCATTCAAAAATAAAAGATATTTTAAACTTTGAATACACACAAAATTTACAGAACAGTTGTCAATGCTTTTTCAAAGTTCAAGTTATCTATGTTAGAATTACTTTTTTTGAGATGGAGTCTCACTCAGTCTGCCACCCAGGCTAGAGTGCAATGGCGTAACATCGACTCACTGCAATCTACACTTTCCAGGTTGCAGTGATTCTCCTTACTCATTCTCCAAGTAGCTGGGATTACAGGTGTGCACCACCATACCCAGGTAATTTTTGTATTTTTAGAAGGGACAGGGTTTCACCATGATGGCCAGATTGGTCTCGAACTCCTGATCTCAAGTGATCTGCCCACCTCAGCCTCCCCAAGTGCAGGGATTACAGGTGTGAGATACTGCACCTGGACAGAATTACTTTTCAAAGAACAAAATGTTTTAGTATTTACACTTGTGAAAATGAACCCAGGCGTGAACATTTCTGTTATTCCTAAAATACTAATCATTATAGCACAAAAATTTAGACAGATATTTCATGATAAAGTTTCTTAAATGTTAGTGTTTTAAACTAAAAATTTATGTAAGTTCATTGTCATTTACAGTTTTAAAAAGGGTATCATAGCAAAACCATTACAGAAGGTTAGAAAACAAATATAACTTTAACTTTATTGACTCTTCAAATACCTAGGCAAAGAGTAAACAGACTACCAAGTGTTTTGAAAGTTACTTTCCTTGGCCGGGCACAGTGGCTCACGCATGTAATCCCAGCACTTTAGAAGGCCAAGGCGGGAGGATCGCTTGAGCCCAGAATTTAGAGGTTGCAGTGAGCCATGATCATGACACAGCACTCCAGCCTGGAAGACAGAGCAAGACTCTGTCTCAATAAATAAACAAATAAATAAATAAGTAAAAATAAAATTTAAGAAAGTTACTTTTATTAAACTGTATCTAAATAATACTACTGTAATCTAAATAACCTAAGTTATATGGCAATGTACCTACACGAACATGTGCACTTTCATCATCATCACTATGATGAAAGTAATCTACTTCACTTACAATTACAGTATTGTCTGTAGAATATAAGATACACATGTTAGCAAAAAAATAATTTTGAAAAGTTATCCACAGTTCCATATATTTACCATGAAAAAGTTAAATAAAACCAAACACTTGAAGTTTATTGCATTTGTCACACTATATTTTTTGAAATAACTGACTCAGAGAAATATTTAAATCATTAAAATCATCAGGCACAGTGGCTCACACCTGTAATCCCAGCACTTTGGGAGGCTGAGGCAGGTGGATCACTTGAGGTCAAGAGTTCGAGACCAACCTAGCCAATGCAGTAAAACTCCATCTCTACTAAAAATACAAAAATTAGCTAGGCATGGTGTACGCCTATAATCCCAGCTACCTGAGAGGCTGAGGCATGAGAATCACTTGAACCCAAGAGACAGAGGTTGCAGTGAGCCGAGATGGCGCTACTACTGCACTCCAGCCTGGGCGACAGAGTAGACTCCATCTCCAAAAAAAAAAGAAGAAATTAAAATAATTAACATTATACTTGACAATTAGTACATTACCAAAATGTAAGATCCTTATGGTAAAGCATCAGGTCCCCATGGTGAAGTATCAGTGGCAAGGGGGTCAGTCAAATTCATCTGTTCTCCACAGTGTGGATATCATCTTCTTAAAAAAGGCACAATTGCTGACCTCAGAAAGCTGCTTCAGCCCACTTCTGCTTTACTGGTGACACAAATTTCAAGCCCTAAATGGCTACCCCACCCCTTCTGACACCTCTGGGACTTCAAGTGTGTAAGACATTTATAACATTATTGACTGTAAACAGCTCATCTCTTGGGAAAGTTTTATTTGGTCATGAGTCCAAAACTGAACCATTTCCTGAGTTGCAGTGAGCAAATAAGTATTTCACATAAGTATTTCACAATCATCATTTCATTTTGATTTAAGCTAGTTTATGCAACTACCAAACTAGTATAATTTGTGAGCAGAGTGTCCTAAATAAGTAGCATAATATAACCCCAACTCATCTGTATAAATACAATTAAGGCAATCCATCCAAAACAAAGAGAATTTTTAACAATTAAAACCAAATCCCCAAAAAACGAGGTAAGAAAGCCACTTTCACTTAGCCAAAAAAGGATGTGGAGAGACGTTTGATAAATTTCTCAAAAAATATAACTCTCAAGGATAATACCATACATATTATAAAATGGGATGGAAAAAAAATCAGTACAACAGAAGGATAAAAGACCATTTCACAACAGGCCTACGTGCCACAATATTTTAAAAACCAATCCTTTTATATGCCATTT